GCAACTTAAAGACTAACAAAATTTGCAGCAGGGTAGGAGCACATCTAAAGAAGTGAGCAGTGACTCCCGAAAGCTCATCCCCTGCCACAAATTTTGTTAGTTTTAAGTTGCTGCTGGACTCTTGCTCTTTTCTACTGCATAAGAGATGTTAGGTTTCAGCCAGTTACTTGGGAGGAGCCGTGGCTCAGTGGCAGAGTATCTGCTTTGCATGCAGAAGGTCCCCATTTCAGTCCCGGTCATCTCCAGAATAAAAAGGCAGGAGGTGATATAAAGCCCTGAGCTGGATAGCCCAGGCTAGCCTAATCTCAGATCTTGGAAGCTAAGCAGGCTTGGCCCTGGTCAGTACTTGGATGGGACCACCGAGAAAGTCTAATGTCCTGGCCCCACTGGTGGACCTCCTGATGGCACTGGTATTTCTGGCCACTGTGTGATACAGAGTGTTGGACTGGATGGGCCTTTGGCCTGATCCAACATTGGCATCTCTTATGTTCTTAAAGTCCAAGGTTGCTGCGCAGAGGCAGGCAATGGCAAACAGCCTCTGAACATCTCTTGCCTTGAAAACCCTGCAGGGTTTTCAACCAGCTGGGTCTTGACAGCAAAAAAAAAGGGATTTAAAAGACCTCTACCTGATACCCTGGAGAGCCACTGCCAGCCAGAGTACCTATATCTCTAGATAGCTGCCTTATACTGAATCAGACCCTTGGTCCATCCGGGTCAGTGTCATCTATTCAGATGGGCAGCAGCTCTCCAGGATTTCAAGTAGATGTCTTTCTAAAGACCCACTACTAGATCTTTTCAACTGGAGATGCCAGGGATGGAACCTGGGACCTTCTGCATACCAAGCAGATGCTCTACCACTGAGCCACGGCCCTTCACCTAGCAGAGAAGGCTGATTTTGATCCAGTGTAAGGCAACTTCACATGCAGTAGCTGATTTACACTCTCTAGTACCTTGCCATGCTTGGCGGAGTTTACATTTTTTAAAAAAATTGTCGACACGATTAAAACCAAGCCTCTGCTCTTGAATTGGTGAGAATCAAGCTGCCATATGGAGCATCCAGCTGGGGGGTGGGGGGTGGGGAGAGAATGCCCTGGAGACAGCTGAGCTTCCCCTTGGAGTTCCTAACTACCTTAACAGATGAGGCAGTTGGTGACAATGTGTGGTGCTGACAACGGCTACATGGCATGAAGGAAAACCAGGCGGCAGATGGCACACTGGTGACCACAAGAGGCAGGAAAAAAGATCAGGCCTCACGCAGCTGCTAAACCATCGGAGATCAGAACTGGAAATCTGAGGACAGAATTCTATTGCCAAGGCTCTACTACTTCCTGTACCAAAAGAGTGTGGAAACCAGTCTGTATTTTGCGAATTAGAAGGTGGCAAGGTATAGCCTGCTCTTGTCAGCTCTTAAATGCTAAGCTGGATCACTACTTAGAAGGGAGACTGCCAAGGAAGACTCTGCAGAGGAAAGCAACTGTCCCGGAACAGATGGGGCACAGAGTGGAGTTGTGCGGTCAAGGTGCGTGCTAGCCAAGGTGCAGGCACAACCTGGTGTAGCGGGGTCAGAGTCCAGCCCCTAGGTCATACACAGAGTCAGCGACAGAAGCAGGTTCAGGGCAAATCCAAGAGTCGAGGTCCAGTTACAGTCCGGGAGTCAGAATCACGGTCCGAAGGCAGAGTCAGTGGCAGCAACATCAGGAGTAATTAGATGCGTCCATCTCTCCCTCTCTCTGCCCGTCTCACAGCTGGGTTGCATAGTGCGGGTGTGCGCGCTCTCCTCCTGACTATCTAGGGCCAGGTGTCTCTGGGCTGCTGACTGCACACTCTGTCACCTTTCCTGCATCTCATGACGGACCCACATTCGTCTACACTCTAACAGCTCTGAGGACGAGGGAGGCGAGGTGGGAGGTGGGGCCCTCTCTGGTTCTGAGCCATGGGCCTGAACAGCTTGGGGGGGCTACTGTCAGACTGTGAGTTGCTGCTTGGCAAGGTTGCAGTAGCTTCCTACAGCAGGTCGTCCTCCACTAACTGTGAGCTTGGACCCTCTTCGCCTGTCTGTTCTTCCTCAGAGACTTTTGCCTCTTTGGGGCTGGCTGCATCTGGCTGGTCCACGACACAAATGACAAACCACCTCTGCTTCTCACTTGTCTGAAGAGCCCCTTGCTGGGGTCGATGTCAATCAGTTTGTGGCTTGACAGCACACGCATGTATATTTTAGGCATTCGGAGCAGGTAGGCTGGAGTGGAGGGTTTGGGGCTGCACCACTTAACAGTTCAGGGGGAGGAGGGGCTCATATGCACTAAATAGCATCAAGGCCCAGATGACTTACCTCGGGTTTGGTTACTGTAGAAGAAGAAGAGATTGGATTTATACCCCTGTTGTGTAGTGAGTTAGCCGCATGGAAGAACCGCTGAGGCACGCATAGTACACAGCACACTTTATTAGTACGCAACAAGCACACCTACCAACCGCCAAGCGGCGGCTTATATACATTCTGGGGAACCCCTGCGGAATCCCATTGGCCTATTCAAACCTCCCGCCAATGTCCCATTGGTTCCCTAGAGGCAGGGTGCAGGAGCCTAGTCCTCATTGTTCTCTGCACTCAAGCTCCACTGAATCGCGGGCGCCCAGTGGCAGTCTGTGGACATAACAACCCTGCCCTTCACTCAGAGTGGCTTACAAACTCCTTTCCCTTCCCCTCCCCACAACAGACACCCTGTGAGGTAGGTGGGGCTGAGAGAGCTCTGAGACAACTGTCCTTGAGAGAATAGCTCTGACAGAACTATGGCTTGCCCAAGGTCATCCAGCAGGTGCAAGTGGGGGAGTGGGGAATCAAACCCGGTTCTCCCAGATTAGAGTCCGCTTACTTAACCACTACACCAAACTGGCTATAAAGGATTGTGCCTAACAACTTCATGGTAAAGGGGGCGGAGCGATAATCAGACAAAGCTTTCTCAATGGTGGAGAAAGCTGCATTTCTTGAATTTCATACTATAGTGGGGTGGTTATGGCTCAAAGGCACACAGATCTTCCTTCTACCTTCAGATGCCAGGGCCCTTCTGTATCTAAGGCTCTACCACTGAGCTAAGGACCCACCCACCCACAATAGATGCTTGAGATGCAGCCCCGTAGCTAGGGAATTTTTTTGGAGGGGGCCTCGGGGAGCCCACCAGCTAATTAAATGGAAATACAATGCAGGTGGTAAGTTGGAGCACTTTGGGGGCAGCCCAGGAGGGAGGGGCCCCAAAAGAAACACTAGGGGGCCAGGCCCCGTGGGCCCCATGTTAGCTACGGGCCAGTTGAGATGCTTTAAGAATTTCATTTATTGCTTTGCCTTCTGGGTAGAATTCACAGTTCCACAGAGAAAGTTTTAGGCTGGGAGTAAAAGTTTTAAGCACTATGGAACTCCTTGTTACCTTAGGGAACAAGATACTAGTCGACGGCGGAGAGCATAGCCTCCTCTGACTAGATGCAGCAGTCCTCAAGACACTGGTCTCTCCTAACCTCTGCTACCTGGAGATGCCAGGAATTGACACAGAGGCCTTCTACATGTCAAGCAAATGCTGTCCCACTGAACCACAGTGTAACTTCCTTGGGAGCAAGGCTTGTATATACAGCTACATGGCCACCTCAGAGGGATTGCTTCAGATGCTGCTGCCGTCTGAGGCTAGACAAGTGACAACCCAAGAAATGGCCTTCTTGGTTATAGCACCAAAACATTGGAACTCCCTCGGCAGGGAGATTTATCCTTCTAACACCAGTAGTTAAAGACTTCTTTGTTCTGTCTGGTGTTCCCTTGCCTAACTCTTATTAGCCCTCCTCCATTTTGGTGTGCGTTATTATGTGTTTATATTATGTTTTACTTAATTGCTCTAAACATTTTATATATTTATTTATTTGCATTATTTATAGTCCACCTTTTTCACTTGGACTCAAGGCAAATTATACACAGTGAGTCAATGCAATTGAAGGATGGGACATTCAATAAATAATGCAAATAGGGTTAGGGTTCTGAACCAAATCAGAAGTCTGAAAACAGAACTGAAGAAGAAGAGATTGCATTTATACCCCGCCCTTCACTCAGAGCGGCTTACGATCTCCTTTCCTTCCTCTCCCCATAACAGACACCTTGTGAAGTAGGTGGGGCTGAGAGAGCTCTGTGAGAACTGCTCTTGAGAGAACAGCTCTGAGAGAACTGTGACTGACCCAAGGTCACCCAGCTGGCTGCATGTGGAAGAGTGAGGAATCAAACCCAGTTCTCCAGATCAGAGTCCGCTGCTCTTAACCACTACACTGAGCAAAGCATAAGTATTAACACAACACTTTCAATGGTGTGAAATTTCACAACAGGATCCCTGTATCAGCAAGCTATACAGTAGTAAAGACAACAGTCCCTAATAAATTTTCCAAGTGTGTGTCTCATTTAGTACAGTACAACTCTATTGCCCACATAGAGTGTGTGTGTGTGTGTGTATTCTTTTTATTTTATTTTATTTATTTTGTGTGTGTGTATTCTAAATGGTTTTTAATGCCTGAAATTTTGTAATGCTTTGTTTTAATGTTCACTGCCTTGGGGGACCCTGAATTAAATGGAAAGTAGTCATAGAAATGTTCATATGTGTGTGTAGAACAAAGTTTGGGTCCAGTGGCTCCTTTAAGACCAACAAAGTTTAATGCTGGGTCTCAAAGGTGGCAACTGGACTCCAACTTTGTTCTATTGCTTCAGACCAACACGGCTACCCACCTGAACGTGTGTGTGTCTATGCACGTGCGCACACATATGAACATTTCTATGACACACCCGCTCCTCTGTATTACACCAATTTACAGACTACAATCCAATCACTTGAAACCTCCCTCGACAGCAACCCGTCCAATAACGGGAGACGGTTTCTAGGATCTAGCCTCGCCTGTCTCTTTCTCTGCCATCAACGCGGAACGTTAGCCGCAGAGTCCTCGTTTCTAGAGGATGGGGGACACTGAAGAGAAACGGACCCTCCTCGCCAGCGGTCCGCTGCTTTTTTCGGACCCCAGCGACGCGCCTCTGCACGCTTTCTATTGGCCGGTTTCCTGACCGGCTCCGCCTCTCGCCTGAAGAAACGAGGGTGTGTTTTGATTGGGTCAGCTGAGGGGAGGTCAGCCCGCTTCCGGGTGCGTGGTCATGGTGACCGTGGTTGCCAGGTAATGAGTCGAAGATGGGGAAGGGGGTGAGGCCCCTGCTGGAATCCAACAGGGAGAGATGATGGGGAGGGTCCACGAATCTTCCAGGAGGGTCACTGGAAGGGGTAGGTAGAGAATGGATCTGCCCTGGTCACAATAATGATTTGGAGAGTGGCGGCCCAACCCCAGCAATGGGGTGTATGAAGGAGGAGGACAGATGTGGTTGCTGCCCCCCCCCCCCCCCCCCCCCAGTCCAAATGTACGGGCTCGGGCTGTTAACTCCGGGTTGAGAAATCCCTGGAGATTTGGGGGTGGAGCCTGGGGAATGTGTTCTCAGTGGAGCGTAATGCCGGAGTCCACCCTCCAAAGCCGCTAATTCATCCAAGGGGGACTGTAGTCTGGAGATCCATTATCATTTTGGGAGATCTCCAGGCCCCACCTGGAGGATGGCAACCACAGCTTAGACGGAAGTGGTGAAATGGATGTGTTGGTGTCTTTATAAAAAAACAGTTGGGGAATGTTGAAAGGGCGTGTTATTCCTATATTTCTAGAGCAGGAGGAAGGAGGCCCCACAAGGAGAAAAAGCTTGTCCAACAGGGTTTCAAGCCTGGGTTGCCAACTCTGGATGGGGTATCCCTGGAGATTTGGGGGTGGAGCCGTGGGGGCAGGGTGTTGGGAAGGAGAGGGATGTCAGTGGGGTTATAATGCCACAGAGTTCAACTTCCAAAACAGCCATTTTGTCCAGGGGAACTGATCTATGTAATCTGGAGATGAATGGTAATTCCTGGAGATATTCAGGACCCACATGGAAGTTGGTAACCCAAACTGTTCATCAGTCAGCCGCATTACCAAGAATCCCTCTGTGGGGTCTCAAGCTTTTCTCTGCAGTCATCATCCTAATAATGAATGCTCCTGCTTTCTCCCCCACCCCAACAAAGACATTATTACCGAAGGATGTCTGTGCTGCAGCAAAGGTTCTTATGGTTCCTTTAAAAAGAATAGCGAGCATCCATGTTGTCTCTTCCATGTTCAAATCACTTGATGTACATGCTCTTTAGTTCTAATCTGTACAGCCCTGTGAGGTAGGCCAGTACCTTGCAGATGAGAGGGGCTGAGAGTCTGAGCTGGCAATGGCCACCTAGTGCACAGGTGATTTGAACTAGGGGCACACATGAAGCTGCCCTATTACTGTGCCAGACCTTTTGTTTTTGTCTGCTCTGACTGGCAGCTGTCCAGAAAATAAGCAACTCTGCACAGATCTAGTGGCGCTGCAGGAGACAGTGAAATCCTGTGATTCTCTACTAAACTATTCTATTCTCTTTAGAAAAATGCAAAATACTTTTGCATTGTTTTAATTACTACCTTGATCCCTAGGGTGGGGATTAGAAATGCACACTGCTGAAAAGGAATGGTTGGGGGAAGACAGCGGGATTAAGTCTGGAAAGTCTGTTAATTCTGAATCGCGTTGGTGTTCGTTCTTGAACAAGTAAATGCTTGTCATTGTGTAGTGATGACATCCTGAATCATAACGTTGGGCAACTGAAGTCATGTTGTGTAACTGGCTTAGGGGAAACGTTTTAATCTGCAGATGCTTGGAAAAGTTCTTGGGAGGAGGGGGAAGAAACACTCTGTGTGCTTCTTTTAGAGAATGAAGGGCAAAGGCAATAACCTTTTCCCCAAATTTACTTGTTTGTTGTTAATGATATGCTAGATGGACAGAATTTTCACATTTCAGCCACCATTCAAGGAGACTTGAGGGGAAAAATAAACTTAACATAGGAGACCGTCAGCAAGAATTTTGAACAGTAATACTGTATGCCCCCTTTTGTCATTACCAGCTCATACCTGTTCGTATGCCAAGCGCTTGCAACTGCCCAAATGAAAGACTGGGCCAATCTGTATTGCATGGCTACGGCATTCTGCAGTGTGTGAGGGCTGATTACTCCTCTGGCTGTGATTGGCTGAGTTGCCCTGTTGTCACAGAGGGATGGCAGAAAGGTTTCTTACTGTTACTGGCAGAGGTACTGAAAGCCTAGAGAAGGGCTGAAAAGCCTAGGAAAGAAGGCTGTGGGCTGGGGAAGGCAGCTAGTCCTAGGATAAGAGAGTGCAAAGGAGTGATTGGGAGGAATTATGGGGAAGGGGAGAGGCATGGACCACAGAGGAGAGACGCACATGGCCAAGAGAGTGAAGAAATCTGAATTAGACATATCGATGGGAAATAGCTATGGGCCTCTGTTACTGAACTTAATTGCACAACGCCATTGTGCTGTATGTACCCTACCCATCCCTAAGTCCCAGGGCTGACTGTACCCCCTGACTGACGTGCTGTTGATCTGGCTTGACAGGCAAGGAACTGAGTGGAGCCCAGGCTTGCAAGGGCCAGACAAAGTGGCACAGCCAAGAGCTATATTTGGTACGCAGAAGAAAGGGGGGAGTGTTCCTCGGGAGGCTGAGTTGTTCCAAGAAGTGTGTGCGAGTGCAGTCCGGCTGCATTATCATTTAGGAGGGTGCTTTTGCTCAGGGTGGGTGGACAGCACCCTGCAGAACAATGCAAAAGAGTGACAGGAAACAGTCTGGCTTGTAGCCTGCTGGACTCTTCCCCAGCCAAATATGAGCTTATCCTGGTATTAGCTTTTGTGCTTTCTTTTTGTCTGGTGTGGCTTAGCAATGCTCCCTCTAAGCTCTGGAGTCTTGTGAGCAAAAATTGTACTTTGTGAGCTACTGGCATTAAAATTGTGAGCGAGCGATTTGGCTGCTGCAGCAATTAGTTTGCTCTGGAGCCATCCTTCCTGAGCGAAGACAAAAATGGGTGAGCCGGAGGCTAAAAGACTGTGAGGTAGCTCACACTAAGTCAGCTTAGGGGGAACACTGGTGGTTAGAGTCCGGGAGACCCAGGTTTGGATCCCCACGGGGCCCTGGAAGCTTGCTGGGTGACATTGGACCAGTCACGCATGCTCAGCCTCATCTGCCTCTCAGGATCGTTGTGACACTAAAACCGGAGGAGAGGAGAACAGTGTAAGCCACTCTCATTGGGGAGAAAGGTGAGGCATGCAAGCAAGGTAAAATACTGGCTAGCTTTACTTGCGAGATGTCTGCTGGAAGGAAGTTATATAACAATAAAGTGCTTTCGGTGTCCCTGCGGTTCTCGAGTTGTAAGTCAGGTAGGCAGATCTGAGATGGGAGAGAGCCGGTTGCCCGAGGCCTAGTGAGTTCATGCCAGTGGTGACATTTGAACCCGGCCCTCCCTGATCACCGCTCAGCCAGCTGTGCTTCTGCCACCTAGCCACACTTAATCTGGCTTTCCTGGTTACTGATATACAACACCGGCTCCATCCCAGCTGGCGTGTGGTGTGGAGTATCATGGGATGGGCCAAGGAGTGCCTGTCGGGGGGGAAAGTGCCTCTGAATGAATCTGAACCGGCCCTGGATCCAAAATGTCATGATAGGTTTCTGAGCCTTGTTCTTGGACACCAGCCAGCCCTGGTCACTCTTTCCTTTCCATCTTAAAGCCATGTCGGTTTGGCGGCCAGCCATTTCCCTATTTAAGTCCCTCCGTCAAAGCCTTTGAGACAGATCGCTGCGCGGGACACGCTTCAGGAAGGAGGGGAGGAAAAGGTAGGAGGTTGTTTGGCCTTCAGACTGCAGGGGACGAGCGGGCAAGGTCTTTTGACACAACTAGAATGAGGTTAAGATTCCAGTTTTTTCCTCTAGTGGCACCTTTTAGCCATTGCTTGGAGCATTCCCACAGGTGAGGCTTGAAGCTCCTTTGGATCTCAAAGGCCTGCCAGGGGGTGACTGCGAATGTGGCATTTGTAATACAGATGAGCATTCTGGCCAGTTTCGGCCTGTTACAAAGCAACTGAAGCAAGAAGTATATCAATAGAAATGAAAGCTCATTTGCGTAGACCTAATCAAGGAGGGCTGGTTGTGGAGGGAGAATGGTTTTCTTTGCTGTTACTGGAAACTCTCTTTCCTGCTTTGGGGTTTTCCTTTAGCGTGTCTTCTCTCGCTTCATTACTGCCTATAAGTGTTTTGGGGGGGAAGACTTTACATTTGCGCATACTAGTTAGCCAGACTGTTTGTATATTTACATACGTATGTCCTGCTTTTTGCCCCAACGGGGACCGATGGCAACTTACAGCATTGTTCTCTGCTCCATTTCATCGCTGTAGCGACAGCCCTGTAAGGTTGATTAGGCTTTGGATGAGTGACTGGCCCACAGTGAGCTTCTGTGGAAGGGTGGGGATTAGAACCTGGGTCACCCAGATCCTATTCTGATGTTCTAACCAGTACTAACCAGTGCTGGAAATTGGACCACGGGCCAGATGGACCACTGGTCTGATCCAGCGGGGCTCTTCTGATGTTCTTGTCAGGGGAAGGCCTCAGCCTCTCTGCCCTGTTGTTAGCCCTCCAGGGGAACTGGTTGGCCACTGTGTGAGAGGAGATGCTGGACCAGATGGACCACTACTGGTCTGATCCAGCAGGGCTCTTCTTATGTTCGCACATACCCACCAAACAAGCTTCTTGGATTGGTGGGACAGTCAGGAGGGCCTTTTCCTGCAATCTTAATCCTTGGGCAGGACGTTCCCCTCAGTTTTTGATGGCGGCCTTGAAGTAGGTGCTCAGTTCTGCCCCGGAAACAGAGGGCCCTTGACAAGGTTGAACTTTGGCTGGGTCATACCTGAGTCAAGCCCTTGAACGACTAAATCAAATTCTCTTCTCCCTGTTTGTCCTCCTCCATCACAACCAGCTTGCTTTATTTCTCGGACATACTCCTGAAATAGAGAAAACACAACAGGGGTCACTGACGAATACCTCAGGAAGTTCGAGTGTGCAGTGCAGTGTGAAATGGAAACGGCTTTGCTTTCTAAGTTTTAACCCACCCACCCCGGTTCTCATCACCTTTACGTTTCCCCTGGCATTCTCAGTTTCTGCGCCAGCACGGTGCAATGTTTAGAGCAAGGGGCCCCAACCTGTTTGAGCCTGCAAGCAGTGTTCCCTCTAAGCTAAGTTAGTGTGAG